TCCCAGACTGGCACAGTTTGCTTCCTCGTAGGGTTCAGATTTTTGATCTGGATATGGATGAGATTGTTACTGCTTTGCATGTGATGTATGCTGATGCTTCTAGTGTGCTTCCGTCTTATTACCCCATGTTGCCTAGTGTAGGTGTGCCTTGCTTAGACTCCCCTGCTGCGTCAGGCGTAGGATCCCCTGCTTTGTTTACCCTTGGTGCTTCCGTCGCTGCTTCGCCTCCGGCCGCCACTGCCGCACTCTCCTTCACCCTTGACTCTGGTGGTTCCCAGTGCTTCTTCCGTGACTCCACCATGTTGACACCACTTCCTGTCCTTGCCGCAGTCTCTCTTGCTGACCCCTCCTCCGGCCCAGTTGTCGCTCGCAGTTCCACCACCCTCCCCTGCCCGGCGGTTCCTTCGGGCTCGCTCACAGGACTACACATCCCCTCGTTCTCCAGGAACCTAGTTGGTGTCGGCTGCCTTCAGGACCTTGGCATCACCACTACGTTCCCTAGACACGAGGAGTACGCTGTCTGTACCGAGGCCGCCACGGGTGCCCCCCTGTCCACGTTCCCACGGGACCCGGCGTCCGGTCTTTTCACACTGGACACGGTGACCCCCCCGGTTGGGACCCCCCCTCAGGTGACTGCGTCTCCCCCGGTTGCTGCTGCCTGCTCCTGTCGGTCTCTCACTCACCCGACTCTTCTCTGGCACCACCGCCTAGGTTACCCTGCGCTCACGCGTCTGCGTCACATGTCACAGCACGGTCTCGTCCAAGGCCTCCACGGGTCGTTCCCCGAGTTTCCCTCCTCCCCAGCCCGACCTTGCACGCCCTGTGTCGAGGGCCGGCTCCGTCGTGCCCCTCACTCCTCCTCGTTTCCCCCTACTGCAGCACCGCTACAGACTCTGCACATGGACGTCTGGGGCCCCGCCCCCGTCCATGGGCCGCATCGAGAGCGCTACTTCCTAGTGCTTTTTGACGACTACACGCGCTACACCACTGTGTTCCCCCTGGAGTGGAAGGCCGACGTGCCTGCCGTTCTTATCACGTGGCTTGTCTCTGCGCGTGTCCACCGCGGTCTCCCTGTCTTGCGTCTCCACTCCGACCGTGGTGGCGAGTTTGCCTCTGGTGTCCTTGGTCGTTTCTGTTGTGCAGAGGGCATCACCCAGACGTTCACCTTGCCGGACTCCCCGCAGCAGAATGGGGTCGCTGAGCGACGCTTCAGTTTGGTCATGGAGGTGGCTCGCACCTCCATGATCCATGCCGGGGCACCCCATTTTCTGTGGCCGTTCGCCGTTCGCTACGCCGCTCACCAGCTTAACCTGTGGCCGCACCCCAGCAGCCTCAGGATTCGCCGACCCTCCTCTGGTCTAGGTCGCCTAGTGACGCGTCTGCGTTCCACGTCTGGGGCTGCCTTGCTCACGTTCATGCCTCTGGCACGGACAAGCTCACTGCCCGCACCCTTCCCTGTGTCTTCCTCGGCTTCCCCCTTGACGCGTCTGACTAGCACTTCTACCACCCGCCGTCTCACCGGTTCTTTCACTCCCGTGACGTCACCTTTGACGAGTCTGTCTCCTTCTTCCGCCGCTTCCCCCACCGAGGTCCCCCGGTTACCCCCCCCCTGTTCCTGGTCACCCCTTCCCCGGTCGTCGCCGCCCCTCCTCCTCCCCCTCCCCATCCTGCCCCCTCTGGTGTGTCCCACGTCACCCCACTTACGTCGGTTGTCCCGGTTGAGGAGTCTGCTGACTCTGGTGGTCCTGCGGCGCAGTTCTCGTCGCCTGCCCCTTCTCAGGTGTCTCCTCCTCCGCCGCCTCCGCAGCCGCCGTCGCCATCACTGTCGCAGCCGTCGTCACCGCCGCCGCCGCCGCCGCAGCAGCCGTCATTGCAGCCGCCGCCGCCGCAGCCGTCGCCGCAGCAGTTCGTTGCCTCTGGGGATGCTGGAGTTGGGGTGGGTACTAGTCCTGGGACTCCTGTCGTGGCTTGTCCCAGCGGGCCTGGGGGTGGTACCAGTGCTCGAGGGGTTCTGAGCTCTGAGGGTGTTCCTTCTGGGGGTGCTGGCGTGGAGTGTTCGGGAGGTAGTCGCCAGGCAGCTTGCGGTCCCGGCGTCGGTGTCACACCGCCGCCGCAGCAATCCCCGCCGGTGTCCGCTCTTCGCTTGCTCAGCCCTCCGTCCCCTGACCCCATGCTTGTACCTCCTCCTCCTCATGTCTACGGCCCTGTGTTCCCTCCTCCGGACTCGTCTCCGGCCCGTTTCCCCCCTCGTTCCCCTCTTGTGTCCCCTCCTCTGTCCCCTGACCCGACTCCTCCGTCTCACGTCTGGTCTCGCCGTCCCTCTCGTGCTCGACCTGTCTCTCCTGTCTCGCGCTCTCACCCTATGTTGCTTCGTTCCCATGCTTCTCGTCCTCCCCTTCTCCCGTCGCCCCTTCCGTCCTCCCTTGTCGTTGCTCCCCCTCCTCTGTCAGACTACCTGCGTGCCGCTCGTCGTCTTGTTCCTCGGGTCCTTGCCTCCCTCGTTACCGACCCGTCTGTTCCGGTTTCGAGCCTTGACGCCCTTGTCGCTGCGGTCGCTGACTTCGCCTCTACCTGCCGCCTTGACTACGCCACCGCTCTGGTCTCTGACCCTACCTGTCCTCCGTCTGTCGAGGGTGCTCCTGCCCTCGGCAGTGACGTCCTTGAGGACCGCCAGTACGAGCTTGCTTTCCTGTCCGAGGCTGCTCCCCATCTTTGTTCCATGCTTCTAGTCCCTGAGGTTGACCCCGACGCTTTCGGCATCCCGACCCCTCACACTTACGCTGAGGCGGTCTTGGGACCCTGGGCCTCTCAGTGGATAGCTGCCATGGAGCAGGAGATGGCATCTTGGAGATCCACCGGCACCTACATCGACGCAGTTCCCCCACCTGGGGTGAACGTAGTCGATGGCTGCTGGCTCTTCAAGGTGAAGCACCCTCCTGGAGAGCCACCTGTGTTCAAGGCGCGCTATGTAGCTAGAGGTTTCAGTCAGCGTGAGGGGGTGGACTTCTTCCAGACCTTCGCTCCGACCCCGAAGATAACTACTCTTCGGGTGTTGCTACATGTAGCAGCTCAGCGAGACTACGAGCTTCACTCCCTCGACTTCTCCACTGCGTTTCTTCAGCGCAGTCTACACGAGCAGGTCTACCTATGCCGCCCTCAGGGCTTCACTGGTACCTTCCCTCCTGGGACCCAGTGGCTCCTGCGGCGCCCCATCTACAGCGTGCGGCAGGCTCCCCGTGAGTGGCACGACACGCTGCGTGCTACGCTTGCTGACCTGCAGTTCTTTCCGTCCTCTGCAGACCCCTCGCTCTTCGTTCGTGCTGGCCAGACCCCGTTCTACATCCTTGTTTACGTAGACGACCTCGTCTTCGCCACAGCAGACAGGGTCGCACTGGCCTCCGTGAAGCAGAGCTGCTGAAGAGACACACTTGCACTGACCTTGGAGAACTGCGCCACTACCTTGGCTTGCAGATCTTCAGGGACAGAGCAGCGCGCACCATCACCCTGACTCAGTCACACTTGGTGCGCCACGTCCTTCAGAGGTTCGGCCTTCAGTTCTCCTCCGCACAGCCCACTCCTCTGCCTCTAGACCACAGGCTCTCCACTCCAGTTCCTGAGGAGTCTGCAGAGCCCAGTGGTCCTTACGCTGAGCTGGTGGGTTGCCTCATGTACCTGATGACTTGCACTCGTCCAGATCTCGTATACCCTCTCAGCATCCTGGCTCGCTTTGTGGCTACAGGCAGACACCGACCTCAGCACTGGTCTGCCGCTAAGAGGGTTTTGCGTTGTCTTGCAAGTACATCGGGCATGGGGTTAGTGCTAGGAGGACGCAGGCCAGTGGTCCTTACTGGACACACTGACGCTTCTTGGGCAGACGACGCCGAGACCCTCAGGTCCTCGCAGGGCTACTGCTTTAGCCTTGGTTCAGGTGCCGTCTCGTGGAGAGCTACCCACTCCTCGTCTGTTGCCCAGTCGAGCTGTGAGGCAGAGATCTACGCTGGTGCCATGGTGGCATAGGAGCTCCGCTGGCTGACCTTCTTGCTCACTGACTTAGGTGAGCGGCCTAGCTCTGTGCCGGTCCTGTACGCTGACAACAGGGCCATGATCCTCCTGTGTCAGGAGCCTCGACTCGAGGGCAGAGCGAAGCACATCCAGCTATGGTACTTCCTCCTGCGTGAGCTCCAGCAGCGCCGCCAGGCGCGCGTAGTACACTTGGCCTCCGGTGCCAACACAGCTGATATCTTTACGAAGGCGCTTGCGCCTAAAGATCATCAGCGGCACTGTGTACAGCTAGGTCTCGTTCCTGTAGCCTCTCACTTGCTAGGGCCTTGACTTTGTACTGTCCTTTATATATATATTTTACCCTATCTGGCCTTGTGGCCTCTCCCAGTGGCTGGACTAGTAGTGCCGCCCTGGTCTTGCTCTTGTCTTGTCTGTACTCCTTTGACTGGTCTTTAGACCCTTGTCTCAGAGGTTTGACTAGTAGTACCGCCATGAGCTGCTTCTTTCCCTGTTAGGCACTGCCCCTATATAGTCTAGGGGGTGTGTCAAATGTAACTTAGATCGTTACTGTAGACTATACTGGATTGTGCCTTAGAGGGTACAACACCCTAGTCTATATACCCTTGTACTCATACATTCTAGTGAAATTATTCTTTCTGATACCCTGCTGCCCATGCACCCAGAAATGGTCAGGGTGGCAAATTAGTTTCAGCTGCCGCCCAATTTCTGGGTGTGGAAATTACCGCAGGCTATGTATCGCTGGACGTGCTTCAATGATGCCAAAAGCTGCTGTACAAACAGGTCCGCTTGCACAATACACAATGTTGAAAAGCATTATGTGTGTTAAATTTTCCATAATTTATTGGAAATGGACGTTCGGGTAAAAAGGCTGGTGAAACAGCTACAGTAGAGGCTCGTAAGTGACACAAAAGAGTATCAAAGAATTGACATTACTTTGTAACTTATGAGAGGGAGGGTGATTGGTAGCCAAGAGTTAGGTAGTACAAATGATTAGCAATACAACAATACAAATCTCATAGAATACAGTTTGCCCCCAAATGCAGAACCCCGACTCGAGTGTTGCATCTCATACAAAATCATCATCATTACTATCCATTTGCCCAAATTGGTTTCTCCACCTGTTTAACCGATACATTGGAATCTACACACCTCTAGGAGTCGGCTAAACACATTATGGCAGACAAATAAAGTTGGTTCCTACAGTTTCGGCACAAGACCCGCCGTTGTAGTAGTTGAACTTCATAATCGATGCAGCTGTAGCTCCACCGTAAAAGCGGTAAGCCTCTGAACACTTCATTGATTTTGCGACAGCCCTGGGTTTGCCCTTCTTGCACCTGGCCAATTTGAATGACCAATAGATAGCCCTGAGGCAAATCTGGGATAACGAGATGCGTGTGAAACAAATGCATGAGAGGGATCTTGCGTAGAACCAAACTTGACCAGCAACCATTGCCAAGAATGACGACTAGAAGGCAGTTCTGCATAGAACAAGTCTTGTGGAAATAATACGTAGATTTTTCCGTAAGCATGGACTGTCTCATGCACTTGACTCATGAGCTCTTGCACTCATCAAGCGCCATATGAAGAACTCATGCACGCATACCCACATCACCTCTGACCACCTTCCCATGTTGACCTGTCTTTCACTCATGCCGCCTCTTCCCGTTCCCCTTCCCTTGCTAACCAAACGCCCTTTCCAAAAACCCTCACCTGCACGCCAATATTGCTGCCGGAAATGGAGACACTTGAGGGAACGCTGCTCTTGCATTTGAGGCCAGGATTGTCACGGTACAGCTGCACCCAATTTCCTACGCTGACACTCCCTGGCGAAGCAGGGTCAGCCTTCTCAAGCAGCTTTTCACACGTGGCTTGCGGTGTCAGCATGCCGTATTGCACACACTCAGGGACTTGGTAGGCAAAATCAAGATTGCGCTCCAGGCACACCGAGCGTCCTGCCTCCATGGACTTTTTGCAGTCAAGTCCGGGGTTAAGAGCGGCAAGACTTTCTTTGGTAGACATGACCTGCTTGCTGATGGATGAACAGGTGTCCCCCTGTAGGCTCGAGCACGCACAGGGAAAGTGCATTTATTCCAAGCTCTTTTGACACGGGAAAGGCTCCTTGGCGGTTACATTATGCAATGTGCTAAGGTGCCTAGTCGAGCTGGTTGAGTGCATGGTGTGGTGAGATCAAAGGCGCACCATATCTCACTGTGAGAATGCAGAAGAAGGCAGTGCAGTGGAACAAGTGGCGGGGATGGACTTGAGACGCCACACTACTAAATATTCTCACCTTGAGGGTATAGTAGAAGGCAGTGCAAGGTGTGGTGGGAATACCATTCAGCTGAAGTACTATCCCTTTAACGAGAGGTTTGTTGCAGTTTATGGCCTGGATTGTAAAACATATGGGTGGAGAAGTGGCAGCATGAATGCAAGGTTTTCGCCAACCTGAACAGGCATCTACTCCTTACAGGGATCTTAAGACTAAAGTCCTCATACCTTTTTAACTAATAGAGATTGCTTGGAAAGAGTCGAAAGTGCCTCTTGAAAGGTTCAGGGTGTTCATGCTGGTTCTACTAAACTAGCCAACCAACCATAAATCTTGTGGGTGTAAGTCCTCACGTCTGAGCTCATACAGCATTGACCTATTGGTCATAGTGAAGACAAGCTGATGTGAAGTCAAGAAGCTGACTGGGGGTTAGCCCACACTCCACATCCCTCTCTGTCCCATAGAGTCCATGCCCTAATCTGTGACATCCCTGCCCTACTCAAACCTTACCATATTTTGGCGAGTGAATTGATCCAATGAGATTCCGACAAGTGGATAAATATCCGAACACCACCAATTGTCTCCACTGACTCTCATGGTAGTGGCTGTGACATTAGCTGAAGATATTAGAGAGAGATGGAGGCATCGAGGAAAGGAATAGGGGAGAGCATAAAGTTTGGCGGAGAGGAGTCACAAGACCCAACAAGCTTATGCGTGCAAGGCGAGAGGACAAACTGACAAGTTCAGAACCATTTGGATCACCTGCATCGCAGGTGGGGAAGCCGTAAACATCTTCGCTCTCAACATAGCTGGGAGGGCATATGCAGGAGTAGGAGCCCTTGCCATCATTCATGCATGCCCCCACCGAGCAAGGGTTCTTGAAGTACGACCCACACACGTCCACTGAAATCGGTGGTGAATTAAATAGGACAGAGATTGGCGATAGAGGGGAAACACGGAGATAGCAGAGGGGGGGCATGCAGGCAAAACAGACAAGGGGGCCAAGGAAAATGTGAGAAGAATACAATGTGCTGGTAAGTGATACATCTGCAGAAGGAAGAAAGTACCATAAGTTGGGGCAGAACAGTAGTCACACTCCTTTCATTTATACCATCATCGGACCATATCTGTTGCCTACAGTCATGGTGTGCAGCCAGGGGCGAGAAACTGGGTTCTTGGCCCTTCTGAAAAGGACCTCAGCTTCTGCCCGCACCAGTATGCCATCAGGATGGCTTGGGGCTTCCCCAGTCAAATCCCATTTCCTCATGGTAAACTGAGACCTTTCTCTGATACCTCGACTACGCTAACTTGGAGCTTTTCCTGTCAGACCCCATTCACAGGCAGCGCTTGTACGTTGACAATTTCCACCTCAGTAACAGCATAACCTTGCCATAATCAAGTTCTGTGCGACATCTTTTAAGAACAGCACTGGCACGACCACAAATTGCGACCACCGACCCCCATCTCTGGCACTTCACAAACAGAAAAACCTTACCATAAGCACATGTGTTGGAGCCGTGTCCATTCCCAGCCTTAACAAAAGGCTGCAGGAAAACTCCAGGAAGGTTGCAGTCGCATGTGTTGCCGGTATTTGAAGTCGCCTGACATTCGAAGCGGCCGCACGGATTCATGGTGGGCTGCTTATCCGAATCAAACTTGTAGCTCTTACTGCCGCAGGGGTCTCCCTGAACTGGAAGGTGAGAGAGAGCAAGCAGACACTTGGAAAACATGATGAAGAATGCGGAGGTAGATGACCAGAGCACAAGGAGAAGTGTGAACGGAAAGGGAGTGCACAACTGGTGCTGCCCAAGCACTAGAGTACAGGGAAAGATAGCACGCCCGAGTCAAGCCTGACAGCAACCTGAAAGACCTCTAGTGACAACAGTTTCAATCGCCAACTAACTGGTCGACTCAAGGGCAACCTGAGTGGCCACGTGTGGAAAAATGTTCAACAGCCAGCTAGCACCCTAACCGCAACATCGCCATTGGCAGATGTCCATTTAAGCTTTGCAATACGTTTAACCACTACTGCACCCCCTTGGCTCGCTCGGGTTGCTTGGATCGTGGATTACACACACTCTGGTCTTCTACATAAGTATTGCAGACGACATTATGTCCTAGAGGTGGAATATGAAGTCAATCCAGAAATCCATGCCTTACTTTTGACAATGGGGTAGATGCCAGGCAGCACATTGATGCCACACACGCCATCCCCTCCCTCAATGTACATGCGCATGTGGCCCTTGTCACCCCACCCCACTCCCCACGAGTTGCGGATGATCCAGAATGGAGGAGCGCTGCGGCCATCGTCGTCTAGAATGTTGTACCCAATAACGAGTACAACATGGTTCAGATTGCCAGTGTAGCATTCAGCATCCTGGTATCTAAACGTCTGAAAATACAAGGGCACAGCACATCCATCAAAGAAGGGAGTTCAGTAAGTAATTTGCTTACGTAGCTCTCGACATGATTGAAGGTGAAGCATATACTTGAAATAATGTTTCTTCTGAGTGACCTTATTTGAGCACAATAGAGCGTCATGTTGAGTGAGTGCCACAACTACTCACCCCATCATATTTATAGAACGAGATTGCAGACTCGATGTGAACCACCACTGGCTGGCGCTTCACTGCCAGCAAGAGCCCCACATACCCCCTGAACTGTGCACGCTCAAATGCATGCACTGGATACCTTGTTGTCTTTCACCACGAGAATGCAACGTTAGGAGGAAAGAGAGGGGGGGGGGGGGGGGAGGGGACAAGAAAGGGTACAAATTCTTTGTCGTAACAGCATGTTACGAGGAACCACTTGAAGCGAAGAAAGATCATTCTAGACTCATGCACTGCCAATAAGGCAATTTATCAAACACCAACTACAAGAAAAGACGATTCTCTTGGAGCTTTGCCCAGTATGCCAAATGAGGTGTTTTCATAACAATTTTGAAAGTAATGGTTTGAAAACCAGCGACAGGCGTTGAGGAAGACATTAGTGAAACTTAAAGCGCAAATCAATACAGAACTTATTACTCTTCTTCGCCCCACTCATCACGCCCTCATACATTTGCCCTACCTGATCATTGTTCTCGGTCAGACCGCTGCTTCCATTAAGAGTGACCAGCTTCTCAAAGGCCTCAGTTGGGGAGCCTCCTGTGCATTTCTTCTCTTTGGTCGTCAGCCCCATGGCTGCAAAGAGTGACTCCACTGACAGCTGGGGAGCAGGCTTTTTTGTTGCAATGCCGTATGCTGCCTCCACACTCGCCACCACTGCATACGCCCAGCAAGCACCTGAGAAAATTTTATAAAGAATCGAAGTACGGTTGGGATGGAGAACATTGAAGGATGCAGGATTTTAGTCCCTCGGCTTATTGTCCGGGCTACAGCAGTGGACAAACAGTGCAACCCATGCGACAGGTTGCTAGGCGGGGGAAAGAAGGAGACCCATGTGGCACGTGAACAAAATACAACAACAGCGTAGTGGAAAAGGCACTTCCAGAAGCAGTGTGTACTATGTAGCAAGCAATATCTAAAACACACGCCCCAAAATTGGAGTGTAGTGGAAACCTGGACTGGAAAGAACTCGTTCTCAACCACATGCATCACAACCACATGCATCTCAACCACATGCATCTCAACCTGCCATCCTCTTTCCACTCACTGCAGTCTTCTTGATTCTTAACAGGCCACTTGAGGTCGTCCACGTCCCAGGTGTGCGAATCGCCGAAATTCCACTTGTCTTTGCCGAATTCCAGACTGTAGGCCGCGCTCACATATCGAGAGAAGGGGCTGGCTTCAGATGGGGCGTAAGTGGCCTGCGACAATGTGAGGCCAAGGGCTGGGACGAAGAGACACGAGGAATGGACCAAGAGAGACATGTTGATGGGGAGATGTGGGAGGGAGATTGTTGTAAGGCATATGTGAAAGCATGTATCAGTTTTAAAGACGCCGCTGAGCATCACGTGATAAGCAGCATCACATGATGAGCAGCATCACATGATAAGCAGCATCACATGATAAGCAACATCACATGATAAGCAGCATCACATGATGAGCAGCATCACATGATAAGCAGCATCACATGATAAGCAGCATCACATGATGAGCAGCATCACATGATGAGCAGCATCACATGATAAGCAGCATCACATGATAAGCAGCATCACATGATAAGCAGCATCACATGATAAGCAGCATTACAAGTGTAAACACCCAGATCTTGCTCAAGCACATTGCTCTGCACTTCACACTGCTTTAACTCCCAGAGAAAATTTGGATAATAGAATCGGACTATTTTTCCAGAATAGTCATCTATCTTCCTGTACGTTTGCAGCTAGTGATCGCAAGTTTAGGTTACGTGGGAGAACCTCACCTCTTTTGTCCATCTGGTCGGACTTGGGTGGAAGAAGGCCTGTAAGTATGGAGACACAATGGGAGAAAGACAACCACAGGAGACACAAGATGATGGCTCAATGTTGAGCCAGAACGAGAAGCTCATGATTGAGTGGCAACGGCAAGATCATTGTGAACAGCAACCACTAATCATCATCATCACCACCACCTGCATCATTGCCTATAGGAACACTAAAAACTGTCACCATCTAATTGCCACTGCTTATACAACATCAGCACCATCGCAGTCCTCTTTGATTCTCTCAGCATCCAGTAAGTCACCGTCATCGCCACTTGACAGATTCTTGCCTGTTTGCACGGAAGAGGAGAGAATGACATGCTTCTGGAACGGCGACACAGTGGTGGACGCCACGAAGCCAAAGAAGAATGCCTGCTGCTTCCCACCAGCCTGCAGCACTCCACGCAGCGCCAGCTCCTTCTGCAACAGCGGCAACCCTGGCTTCACATTCAAGTCAGACAGGAAAACCTGAATGCTTCCAGGATTCCCAGGCTCATAGTCCACCCATGCCGTGTATGTCCTGCTGTCGGTCAGTGTGAAAGGTGACTCCACCTCGACCAAGGATTCTTCTGTGCCATTGACACTCAACCCCACATGCTGCCCGCTTTGATCACTTTGCTTGATGCTCTGAAGCGTGTCGAATACAATGGCTATGCTCTCAGTTCCCACGCCACCATACCCTACACCATCATGATCGAGCTTCCCCAACTTGGACTTTGCCGTGATTACAAACGCAAAGCCATTGGATCCAGTGGTACCAGACTGGGGAACAAGGGAGAAGGTGAAGTTAACACTGAAAGCCAGTTCCAACTGCGCTCTTGGACCAAGCGGGTTAGCGAATAGAGTTACTGGCTGTTTCATGAGGCTCCCCGCTGTCTCCCTCTGCGTCCCCTTGGTGAGCAACGTGTATCGAGGGAGAATGCTGCTGCTGATTGACAGACTTTGGTTCCAACCTGAAAAGATGGAAGCAGAGCAGGAAGAACAATAGTTGAGCCTATGTGTCTGCCAAGCTAGCTGCAACACATTTATGTGCTCAGCTCAGCTGATCCTCCTGAATCACATGTATGGTGGGCGTTTTTCAACACCAGAATAAACGTGCACCAATCGGCAAAAACGCAATGCCCACATAGGACCATTTGAAAATACTACACAGGATCTAATTATGAAAGCACTTGGTGTGATGACTATACCCTCTGAGTGTACCCGTAGGGGCCCTCTCAATCTCATTCTGTGAGGGGTACCGATGGTGCTGGATGTCCAACAGAGTCAACCAATGACTGGTGCGAGGGAAGCCGTAATGTCGTGCCTTTTGCTTACAATGACCCATTTACCTTCTACGGCGCAGCCCGTTCTTCCAATCTGCATGAGTCCCGGTTGACACATGCACGTTGGCACCAAGCTGGGTCCGTTCGGATAGCACATGCCGCGGCCACTGCAAGCACCAGTAGAGCTGGAGACGTTGCAGAATGCCTCGCACTCTGCCGCGGGCCGCTGCATCGTGGAGTTACAGCTCTTGGGCAGTGTGAAGCAATTGGCAGAGGTAGTGCGGCTTAGGCATTCTGAGGTAGTCAGGCCACCAGTCAAATAGTTGCTGGAAACGTCAAATCTGGACATTGGAAGTCTCACAAGTGGGCCTGTGAGGAAGTTGTGAGAGAGATCACTGAAGGGGAGAAGGGGGAGGGGGTTGTGGCGGGTGAGGTAGCAAATTTAGACGGGATGTGGTCTAGGGCTATAATGGATTCATGTGAGAGTTATGAGGTATTGAAGAGAGAAGTGGAGAATAGGGTGTGGGAGTGGGTGAGTGAAGGAGGAGGAGGAGAAGGAGGAGGAGGAGGAGGAGGAGGAGGAGGAGGAGGAGGAGGAGGAGGAGGAGGAGGAGGAGGAGGAGGAGGAGGAGGAGGAGGAGGAGGAGGGGGAGGAGGAGGAGGAGGAGGAGGAGGAGGAGGAGGAGGAGGAGGAGGAGGGGGAGGAGGAGGAGGAGGAGGAGGAGGAGGAGGAGGAGGAGGAGGAGGAGGAGGAGGAGGAGGAGGAGGAGGAGGAGGAGGAGGGGGAGGAGGAGGAGGAGGAGGAGGAGGAGGAGGAGGAGGAGGAGGAGGAGGAGGAGGAGGAGGAGGAGGAGGAGGAGGAGGAGGAGGAGGAAGAGGAGGAGGAGGAGGAGGAGGAGGAGGAGGAGGAGGAGGAGGAGGAGGAGGAGGAGGAGGAGGAGGAGGAGGAGGAGGAGGAGGAGGTGGTGGAGGAGGAGGAGGAGGAGGAGGAGGAGGAGGAGGAGGAGGAGGAGGAGGAGGAGGAGGAGGAGGAGGAGGAGGAGGAGGAGGAGGAGGAGGAGGAGGAGGACGCAATGAATACAGATCGCGTCAACCTACATAACTGGAAGGGTGAAATGATGGCACTGTAAAATAATGGCTGCACAGTTTGTAATGAGGTAAAATGGGAGACGTAATTACTAATCAGCGGTGCCATGCTTGATTCTATGCATCAAGTACGGTGCGACATGCATGCAACAAGAGGGGGGAAGGGTGGAACAAAATTTTAGGGAATAGAAGTATGATCAAGAAAGTACTATGAGAAGGTGACGAGGTCTGGTGATTTGAGTTGTGTGTCGTACCAATAGAGTTTACGTTTCATTTGGTCAAGTGTTGTGGGTATGCTTCCATGTAGCTGGTTGTAAGCGAGTGACCTGATAGTCATCAGAGTGGATGGGTGGAAAAGGAGTGGATAAGGGGGGCGGTGGATGATCAGGACTTACACGTCTCTGATTCGGGTCCGCAAATGGAAAGGAGGGACGCGGCATGCTCAAAACCAAGGAGGGGCGTGCAGGTACGTGGTGGGTGTTCCTAAATAATGTGCTTTAGGAATGTACGCTCGGAGGGGCATTGCATTTTGAGAGAAAGGTCTGGCCATTTTCGCACAGGCCAACTTACAGATATAGTGCATTAGACAGTTTGCCAATCGTATCCGGAATCATTCCGGTGAGTGAGTTACGTTGGAGGTCCCTGCAGAAGCACAAAGCAAGATCCGAACCATGAGAGCATCATTGAGGCGCATAAAAAAGTGCAACTCAGAGTGAGCATAGTATTCACGAAGAGAAGTCCTGCAGTACGACGTCACAAGTGAGCAGTGCCCATGTGATGATGCATGTAAGTGCTACACATGTGATGATGCATGCGAGTGCAACACATGTGATGACACAACATGAGCAAAGGGCCGAACCAGCCCTGAGCCCCGGCTTGGCTCGTCTAGGTCTGGACTCAAGCCAGCCCTGAGCCGGCTGGTGGAGCCAAGGTCTGCTTGAGGCTCGTGCGCACATGGAATGCATTCCAACATGGGCAAGCCAAGCCCGGGTCAAGGGCTGGCCAGCACGAGACAAGGTCATCAGCAGCCTCATCGCGTCTTGTCAACTCCCAGCACGGATCTGGCGAGCGAAACATCACCCGTAACTGGGCTCAAGGGTTGGCTTCTAAATGGTTGGGCTCGACTCGATCAGGCCCTGGCCCAGCCCTTGTACGGCCCAAGCCCCCCGTCGCTGGCCCCCCCTAGCCCCCCCATGGCACGGCCCTGGCTCATGTGTAGTGATGAGCCCAGCGAGTGCTGCACATCTGATGACATCGTACAAGAACTTATGGCGTTCAGTGAACGAAGGTGTCCTGAGCACTCGTAGGCCCGGATGGGTGGAAGCATGGATGGAGGTATGCGGAGATCGGCAGACTTTTCTGGGAAATTGCAAGTTAGGCAGAGCAATACTCACTGTGTAGGCGAGGCTGTAACTCACAGTCTGTTAAGCTTGGACAGTTTGCCGATTGCTGACGAAATAGGTCCTGTGAGTTTGTTTGTGCCGAGCATCCTGCACAGGTACATGCAAGCATCCAGGGGGGCACATTTTCATGCAAGCTAACACAGGGCCACATCTGCAATGCAACATGCATGCATGCAGCTATGCTCAGCAGCTTGTGGGTGAAGAGAAGCACGTTGTCATGATTGTTGCCATGAGGGTTGCCATGCGAGGATGAATCACGAAACAACAACCTGGCTAGTGGCTGAATGGCAAATGCTGGAGGTGCGAAGAATGGCCAAGGGGTGAGGATGGGTGGTTTCTTACAGCCACCGCAGGGACTCAAACGTGAAAATGCTTTCTGGTATGTCTCCCTCCAGCTCGTTCTGATGCAACAACCTGCCACGGTGTGTCAGGAACAATGGAGGCTGCTAAAAAGCCGTCCAGACCAAGAACAAGGCACTCCGTCGATTTGCAGGGTCTTTTTGCAGATCATGAGATTTGACTCCAAGAAGAAATTCGTAAGCAACGCATTTCGTTGATCGTCTTGCTCACTGAAGTAGAACAAGGAATCAGCGATCCAGAATCTGTCAAACACCAGACAAACAATAATTGCAATAGGTCCAACTCGGTGCAGCACGAAAGAGGGTAGGAGAGGGGAGGAAGAGAGCCTCATTGAGAGGCTAGGAGGGTCGTAACAGTGAATGAAGCAAGAGAAGGATGAGGGGAGAGGAGGGCAGAGATCAAGATCACAGAAGAAACAGAGGCCTTACAGTTTTGACAGCTCTTTTAGGTTGCTGATTGCAGCAGGGATTGATCCAGTGAGCTGGTTGACAGATAGACCACTGTAATAATGAGCCCGAATGAGGCACGCCATGGATGGAGGCAGAGAGTCCGAGTTTAATGCCAACAGCACACTTGACTACCTCTCAAAGGCAAATCCATGCTGCAAGGAGAGGAAGAGGAGAGGAGGAGAGGGCAGGTGGCTTATCACTGTATGAAACAGTGGAAGGATGAGTGGATATGAAGAGCAGAGATTGGGTAGCACAACGAAGCAGAGGCCTCACAGGTACAGCAGGTTTCCAAGGCTGCCGATTGTAGCGGGAATTGAGCCGGTGAACTGGTTCACAGATAGACCACTGTAATAATAACCACGCCATAGACAGGCAGAGATTTCATGTTTGAAGCCAACAGAACACTCGACTATATCTCGAAGGCAAATCAGTATTGCAAGAAGAGATAGGGGAGATGAGAAAAAGGAGAAGTCAGGAGTTTGATTCTGAACGAAATATGAGAAGAATGAGTGGAGGGGAGGGGCAGAGATTGGATAGCGCAACAAAGCAGATGCCTTACAGGTACTTCAGGTTTTCAAGGTTGCCAATTGTACTGGGCATTGAGCCAGTGAGCTGATTCTGTTGAAGGCCTCTGTGGAGGTGAAAATGAATCAGGTGCATGACAGATAACAGGATAACAGCAGAGATGTCAGGCTTTATGCCAACACACTCAACTAGCTGCTGACTTGCATCTTCTTCAACAGCAGATACCATTGTAACGACCCGCTTTGTCAGCTAATAGCTACTACTGAGCAGAATGGGTTGAAGCAGAGGCCTTACAGATATGTCAGGAATATTAAATCGCCTATCCCAGCAGGAATAGAGCCACTTAGCTTATTTTCTCCGAGACCCCTATGATTGTGAAATAAATGTGGGATGAGAAACACAGAAACGCATGAAAGATGAGTTGGTGAAGTCTGCAAGGCATCGATCGTTGATATAGGCCTCATTTCGGCTTGGAGCAAGGAGGATGGAACAGGAGTGAAATGGGAAAGCAGACAAGACAACAAAGATTGGAGAGAAAAACGAGTTGACAGGCCCAGATAAAAAGGGACGAGAGGAGGAGACAGGGGTAAGGAGCAAATGGACAGGAGATGAGTGGAGGGAAATCAGGGGACGGTAAACAACTTACACGATTTGCAGAGGAATAAATATCAATAGAGCAGAGCTTACATACTGACGTGGGTTTTCATTCCACAATCTATCCTCCAAATCTCAACTAATCCTGACTGCATGGTCTGGTTCATGCTACACTTTGTTAGATTATATCTATTATAAATAACATGCTATGCTAGTCCGCTATTTAGGTGTACACCAATCTGTGGTGTACACATAATGTGCAAGGGGTGTTAATCCAACCCACAAGTGGTTGGAACCCCCGAGCACCAATGGTGGTTGGTCCTCCAACCGCTCTTTGGTTTGAACAAACAGTGGTTGGACAACCCAACCACAGTTGCGGTTTCCCAACTCCGCGTGGCACGGTTCCCCCTCCATCTCAAGCATCTCTAGAATCCTATGGATGTTTGTCACCCCTTTCCCTCGTTGAACGTCTGCAGCTCAAACATCGATCTTCCTTGGTGCAGAAGTCCTCACTAGTCAGGTAATTGGCGCTAGAGATTACCATGCTTGCTGTAGTGTGTAATTTGCACGTTCAACTTCACCCTAATTATGACGATAACCCAAGTCCGCCAGCTTGGAAATTTTACCAAGTTAAATTAACTCAGCCAGCCCAGCTGTAATCAACTTAGCCCACTTAGTGTTGTCAAACTCAGCCTAGCTAGGTTGGATTCCAACTTACTCTACTTGAGTTTGGTCACCTCAACACGACAGAGCTTGTTAAGGGCCATCAGTCCCACTTGGCTAGTTGACCTCCAAATATTGTGAGTTGCCAAGCCATCCAACTTGAATGAAGCTCCAATCCCACGAACTCGAGCCACTTCTTGCTTGAACCTGCACGTTGTTCCCACTATTCCTCTTTCTCTCCATGTACTCCCCACTCCCCACAACTTCCTAGCACCAAGTAAGTTTCCCTCACTAGGATCGCAGCACAGCAGCACAGCGCACTTCTTACTCAAGGGTTCCCATCCTTGCAACGTTTGCAAGTGGATACAACACTAACAGCCATTTTTAGTATCTTCATCTTGCATATCAAAAATAACAACTCCAGTACCATGCACAAAAAAGTGAGGGAGAGGGTGGCAAGAGGTGAACTTCAAAGAACATAATGTGCAACAGGGATTGGGGGAGAGGGATAGAAAAAAAAAAGAGTAAAAAGGGGACAGGAGAGGCAGGAAAAGGAGAGCACGAAAAAGCAGAGGCCTTACAGGTATTGCAGGTTTGTAAGGTTGCAGATTACAGTAGGGATTGAGCCTGTGAGCCGATTCTTACTGAGGTCTCTGTGATAGAAAGCACGAATCAGAGATGTAGTAGGCCAACACAGGCAGAGCACTCAAGCTTAGGCGAAAAAAAAACAGTAGATAAAGCAATTCATCAGTTGGCGAAATTCATATGGTTTCTCGTGAGGAGGAAGGGCAGAGAGGGCGTACGGGCGTTTCAGTTCTCGAAGGTTGCTGATTACAGTGGGGATGGAGCCTGCTAGCAGATTGTATTGAAGTAGGCTGCGGTGATAGGGCATGTCAATGAGAAAGACAAAGTGTTTCAGGTTCAATTCGTATGAAAATGATCAGTATATAGGAGCAACTACAGCGGTAGGAGAAATTCCTACACATGTTAGGGCAAAAATGGCAGCAGTATGGATATTGTTCCCAAGAAGTAGGTGATTGACATGGACAGAAGAAGGGAGGACACAGGTGTCATCTCTACACAAGATAAATCGAACAGGGGCGGAGAGTAATCAACAGGAGAGAAGAGGCCTTTTGCTCGTGCCTTAATGAAACAGGAGAGGAATGAGGGGAGGGTTAGATAGGCCTTACAGATGGTTCAGTTTTCCAAGATTGCCAATGGAAGTGGGGATTGGGCCACTGAGCCTATTGTACTGAAGACACCTGTGGTGATGAACACGAATCAAGCACGTCAATAAGAAAGCCAAACAGTTCGAGAGAGCACATGAAGAGCACATAGAGCCATATAACGGACTCCTACATATATTACAGAGGCAAGGTGCCACTGGGATGAACATTGTCCCTAGAATAGGTGCAGCCATTAGGAGGGAAAAGACGGGTAGGATTGATATTTTCCTATGACTTGTGCTTCTCATGATGCAGGGACTTCCGCGAGCCACATGTGACTTAAGAGAACAGGTGGGTACACCTGAAGTTGGGTAGGTATGCTTCGAGCCTGGAGGGAAACATACGCGAGATGCACATGTGCTCGTAAAGCACATGTGTCATCACTAGAATGCCGGTGAGAGTTTTGTGCTGTGAGGCGCGAAATAGGGGGTGAGTGAGAGCATGCTACTTGGACACTGAAACTTAAGCAATGATTGAGATATTGCTGCACGGTCACGACAAACAATCCACATACCGTGGGAATGCTGTGCAAGACTTCATCTACTTGGACTTTGTTTATTCTCAATACTCCACCCTACAGATCTCAGACTAGGCTTGCGCAACGGGTCGAGTCGGGTCTGGTATACCCGACCCGAACCCGACTTTTCCTGGGTCAGGTCGACATCTACGGAGGGTTGGCCCAACCCCTCGGGTCGAGTGCGAGTACCCAGCCAGCCCGACCCGACCCGACATAACCCCATCCCACCCCTCGGGTCGGCTTATAACTCGACCCTGCCATTATGCCGACCCGAAACCGGGTCAGGTAGTACCCTACCCGGCCTTTATTACCCAGGTCAGGTCACCCAATGCAAAGGCTAACCCGACCTTGAAGCGACCCGAGCCCAACCTTGGGTCAGGCCAAAGTCGGGTCAGGTGGATGCTCAAGCCTAACTCAGACCGCTAGTGCTACCAGGCACCCAAGGACCCTTGGAGGTTACCCAAGCTCTCAGGATGGGTGCTCGGATTCAAAACAGACGGACTAACCAGATTTGAGTCCACTGTTCTAACACATAACACTGACTGGCTTCTGGCAATTGTGGAAGCTACCTTATAGGAAGGCGCTTGTGTGAGTGCCCCTACACTAGATGTCATGAGCAACCCGCTCCCTTGGATATCGGACAAATAGGAATCAATTAGAATCTCAAAGCCACTGACCTAGTGTTAGGATTAAGGACAGAGTCTAGGTGAACTTAGGAGCTAGAATTACTCAAAATATAAATCCGAAATTCTGGACAGAAAAGTCGTCTTCACAAGAAACGACGTCGACAAAACACTAGCCGTTGGAATGTCGCGAAACTTGGATATGTTGTAGCTCTTGATCTCAGCTACCGTTCCCAATTTGAATCACGTTGATTGATGAAGTATTCGCGACGCTATGGCTTTCGACGCACTAGGGGGTAAGCTGTAGGAGGAGAACTTAACTCAATCTCAAGAGTTCAATCAAAGTTCAAGAATCTCACAAGGAATTAGAGGAGCAAGAGAAAGGTTGGGATAGAAGAGAGGGATGAGAGGGAAGGTCCCAAGAGAGTCCCCAACCAAGGAAACCCCATAAGCACAAAGATTCCCTCCCTATAGGAACCCCAACTTTGACATTTGTCCCTTCCCAACCAATCCATCCAAGTTGGCCACCCTTGCCAACCTAGCTTGGTTGTTCCCAACCAATTTGCAGCTGTTACAGTAGAGTGACGAATTTCCCCAACCCCAAAGGTCCCAACTCCATATAAAGTCACCCCACAACTTCACTTTGTAACCGCCGCAATTGTAACGCAAGCTCATGAACTTTGAATCTTCATAGCTTTCGCGTTCTTGCTCCGATTGACGCGATTCTTGTTGCGTCGGAAAGATCTTCTCAAGATCTATCATCACAAATACCTGCTCAGACAGAATAACACAAAACACATTCCCAAACTCCAGAACACACACCACAAATTCTTGCACACGTTCAAACCACACATGCAAGTTGAAAACATGGGATGGGAGGCAGACAGAATGTGATAGCATATGATGACATCACACAACAATCTCCCCCTCTGGCTGCCAACCATCATCGACCATACCACATCTCAAGCATGCATACTCAATGCACACTCATCCCAGCAAGCTTCATGCCCTTCCAATGATCCGCCTCCGCCAGACGCTTAGTGAAAATATCTGCTGCCTGCTGATGGGTCTTCACTATCTCCAGCCGCACCTCCTTATCAAGGAGTCTCCTCACCCAGTGCCACTTAGGCCTTATGTGTTTTGTCAGCCCATGCAGACAAGCATTCTTGGCGAGCTTCACAGCAGACTCATTGTCACAGAACACAACTGTCGGCTCCTCCTGACCAACTCCCAACTCCTCCAACAAACGCCTTAGCCACACTACTTCCTTGGCCCCATGGTGTAAGGCCATGTACTCAGTCTCACATGAGGACAATCCCACCTCATTCTGCTTCTTGCTGCGCCAGCTCACAGCACCACCTCCTAGCAAGCACACATAACCCCCAATGCTGGTGCCATCCGCTTTCACTGAGTTGAAGCTAGCGTCAGTATAGCAACTCAAGAGCATCTCACCACTCTTCACATCTGCAGCACCTCTCTGCAACCGCTGCCTCACTCCACTGTACTCCAATCCCACTGATGCCGTAGCACTCACATAGCGGACCAACCTCTTGGCCGCTTCCAGCTGCTCATGACTAGGGCGTGAGACCACACTAGCCAACCGTGATGTAGAAAATGCAATGTCAGGCCGTGTATGATTTGCAGCATAATTCAGCGACCCAACCATCGAATGAAACAGCTTCCTGTCACTCTCACCCACTACCTCCTCATCAGCACATGGCTCCACAGTAAACCCTGAAGGTAGTGGTGTTGCTGGCTTTCCCCCATCTTGCAGCCCATACTTCTCAGCCAGCCCCTCACAGTACTTCCTCTGGTGCAACCTCAGCACACCCTTCTCCACATCTCTCTCCACATGCATCCCCAAGTAGTACTTCACCTCACCCATCTTGGAACACTTGAACTGCATCTCTAGCATCTGCTCTGCGCTGTCCAGCAAAGCAGTTGATGCAGAAAAGAGAAGGATATCATCCACGTACACCAAGAGCATGAGGATTTCATCCTTCTCCTGCAGCAGGAACAGGCTGGGGTCACACTCACTCTTCTTGAAACCCCCAGCCAGCAGCGCCTCCTCCAACTTGTGATACCATGCACGAGGCGCCTGCTTAAGGCCATAGATGGCCTTCTTCAGCCTGCAGACCCTGCCGCTCCCATCATCCAGCCCCTCTGGCTGCTTCATATACACCTCCTCCAGAATGATCCCATTCAGAAAGGCAGTCACAATGTCCATCTGCCGTATCTTCCATCCCAGGAGTGCAGCTATCGCCAACAGCACCCTCAGTGTTGTTCCTTTCCCCACAGGAGCAAACACCTCATCATAGTCCTTCCCTTTTGTCTGCTGAAACCCCCTTGCCACAAGCCTAGACTTGTATCGGGTCAGCTCCCCTTCAGGTCCATACTTGTGCCTGTAGATCATCTTGGAAGTGATTGCCTTCTTTCCAGGAGGCAAGTCACACAGGTCCCATGTCTCGTTCTCAATCAGGGACCCAAACTCCTCATCCTCACTCGCCTTCCACTTCTCCCCATTTGGTCCATTCAAGGCCTCTTCTCGAGTCTTGGGCTCAGGGATTGGTGCCCAGTAGCAGTGAGCGATCTCATCTTCCTCAATCTGCTCAACCACACTCCCAGCCTGCACCACATTCGGCTTGCCTCTTCCCCCATAGGTCAGCCTCACTGGAGGGCGCACATCCCTCCTAGGACGCTCAGGCGGGTGTGGAACTCGAGGTGGAGATTCATGCTGCTGCTGCTGCTCCACCTCAGCTGCTCCCCCTTCCTCAGTCACCCCAGACATCTCCTCCTCTGACACTGCAACCTCCACCTGTCTTGAAGGCTGCTGCAACTCATCTGCCTCCACAATGAGTGGTGTAGATGGAAGCTTCTGTTGCTGCTGCTTCCATTCCTTGTAGTACAGGGACTCAAGAAACTTCACATCCCTTGACACTGTCAGCTTCTGGGTGGTCAAGTCCCATAGCAGCCATCCCTTGTGATCCTTTGCAATCCCCAAGTGCACACCCCATCTTCCAGAAGCCTCCAACTTCCCTCTTTTCTCCTTAGGCACATGAAACACTACCATGCACCCAAATGCCCTCAGCATGTTCACAGCTGGAGCACTCCCATACCACTTGATATATGGGATCCACTCCTTATCTCCAACTGTAGCCAGCACCCTGTTCTTCACAAGGGCGACCTGCCTCAGTGCAGACACCCAAAACGGATCAGGTAGCCCTGCACGCCCAAGGAGAGTGCGTGCCCCCTCCTGCAGGGTCCTGTTGAACCTCTCAGCCACGCCATTCTGCTGCGGATTGTAGGGCACTGTCAGTTGATGCTGGATCCCCTTCCTCTTCAACTCCCCCTCAAAATCAGCTCCAATGAACTCCCCACCATTGTCACTGCGGATCACCTTCACCTTGTGTCCGCATTCCCTCTGAGCTCTAGGCATCCACTCCTTAAGGACAGCCGCTGCCACCTCCCCCTTGCTGTTCAAAGGGTAAACCCACACTGCCCGAGTGTGGTCATCCACAATTGTCAAGAAATAGCGGCTGCCTGAGAGGGAAGGGGCTCTTGTGGGCCCCACCACATCCATGTGCACAAGTGCAAGTGGGGTCTTGGCTGGTCCTGTTGCACTGTTGAAGGGGAACTTGGAGAACTTGGTCTCCAAGCATGTAGGGCAGCTCCCAATCTCCTTCACTTCCCCTTTCACCTCCAAGCCCTTCAGGCTCCCATTCTTCACCAACTTCTGCAGCATAGGGAAGTTCACATGACACAACCTCTCATGCCATGTCTCCCAATCGGCCTCTCCACTCCTTGATGAAGCCTTAGCCCATGCCGCACTCGCATCCACACCAGCAAGCACCTCACCATGTGTCTGCTGCTTCTGCACTTTCTTGACTGCTTCCAGGACCCCATCAGTTGGTGCAGTTGCATCTCCTCCTGCTGTTGCCTTTGCCACTGCTGCCGTTGCTGCTGTTGGAGTCTTCCCATTCCAAGGGATGATGGGCAGCTGCCACAGGTCCTTGATGCAGCTGGTCTCCTCTTCCAGACTCCACAGCACCTTCTTCCCAAGCTTAGCACGGCAGCTGGTTGGTCCAAAGGTCACTTCGGCCTTACTCTTCTGCAGCCGCCGCACAGAGAGAAGGTTAGCAGACAAGCCTTTAACCAGCAGAACATTCCCAAGCCCCACAAGCTCCCCATTAGCTCCCTTAACCTTGGCATTCCCAACACCAATCACGGGGAGCAAAGCACCTGACGCTGCTGCCACATACTTAATCTTCCCAGGGGGTTTTACCTCATCAAGCAAATCTGCCCGTGGGGTCATGTGACTGGTGCAACCCGAATCAATCACCCAGTGCGTGAGAGGGTGCATCACAACCTTTCCGACAGATCCCACATCACCCTCATGCCCATGCACATCCTCAACCATGAGATACATCCCAGGATAGGCGTTACCTTGTGCACCTTCATCTTGCACAGCGCCACCTTGTGCGCGTTCACCACTGGGTGGCTTCATGCCTGGAGGTGCCCATCCCTCCGGCCTGCTGAAGCACTTGAACCAAGGATGCCCTATCTTCTTGCAGTACCAGCAGGTGCCCTCCATTCTGGTACTCCCCCTGCCACTAGAGCTCCCATGCCCCTCATTATAGTCACCTCGGCCTCTACCTCTGCCAAAGCTCCTCCCACGGCCTCGGCCTCTCCAACCCCCTCTTCCTCTGCCGCGCCCTGCAGCTCCATACCCCTCAGCAGTCTTAGTGGCAGCACCGCCTCCCACATGGCGTCTGCGGAAGTCCTCCTGCAGAATCTGCTGCCTTAGCCACTCAGGTGTCCATTGATCTTGTTGAGAGTTGAGGGTGGGGATGAGGTTGTCCCAAGAGTTGTCCAACACCGAGATGATCTTGGTGCACTGCTGCAGCTGAGATACACTGCTGCCCGCTGCTGCCATCCTTGCATAGGTGTCCTTGATCTTGTCAAGGACCGGCTTCACATCGTCCCCTGGTCGCATGGAGATGGCAGCAAGTTCCTTCTCGAGCACGATCACCATCAGGAGAGTGTTGGGCTGAATCACATCGCGTAGTAGTTTCCACGCCCTTGGACCCGAATCATCCGCTTCCACAAGATCCTTGATGTGCTCGAACATCTCCTTGTTGACCGATTGAAGGATGAGGTCGAAAAGCACCGTGCTTTTCTCAATCCACCGTTCACGTGCTTCGCCTTCTTCCGGCATCTTCTCTTCCCCAACAGCAATCTTCAGTAGCTTGTAGCGTTTGAAGGCACTCCTCATCCGTCCGCTCCATTCCTCATAGTTGGAGCCATCCAAAGCTTCAACTTTTGATGGCGGCGGCTCACTTGTCTTCTCAGGTACAGCTCCTCTTCCATTAGCATCTCCTCCTCTCTCATTCATCTTCTCCTTGAGAAATGACGAATTTCAGCTCCCCTTTGCTGTCCACACTCAGCTCCCTCGATATTTTCACAAGTGTCGGCGTCCACGAAATTTCGGCAGAGTTTCCCCTTAGCGGAAGACACATCCAACCTTTAGAACACCACTTAGGCACACCCACAGGCCATGGTGGGTCTAGAAGGGTCTTCAAACTTCTGTAGACTCCTCTCAATGTCCTTAATATTGCTCTGATACCACTTGTTAGGATTAAGGACAGAGTCTAGGTGAACTTAGGAGCTAGAATTACTCAAAATATAAATCCGAAATTCTGGACAGAAAAGTCGTCTTCACAAGAAACGACGTCGACAAAACACTAGCCGTTGGAATGTCGCGAAACTTGGATATGTTGTAGCTCTTGATCTCAGCTACCGTTCCCAATTTGAATCACGTTGATTGATGAAGTATTCGCGACGCTATGGCTTTCGACGCACTAGGGGGTAAGCTGTAGGAGGAGAACTTAACTCAATCTCAAGAGTTCAATCAAAGTTCAAGAATCTCACAAGGAATTAGAGGAGCAAGAGAAAGGTTGGGATAGAAGAGAGGGATGAGAGGGAAGGTCCCAAGAGAGTCCCCAACCAAGGAAACCCCATAAGCACAAAGATTCCCTCCCTATAGGAACCCCAACTTTGACATTTGTCCCTTCCCAACCAATCCATCCAAGTTGGCCACCCTTGCCAACCTAGCTTGGTTGTTCCCAACCAATTTGCAGCTGTTACAGTAGAGTGACGAATTTCCCCAACCCCAAAGGTCCCAACTCCATATAAAGTCACCCCACAACTTCACTTTGTAACCGCCGCAATTGTAACGCAAGCTCATGAACTTTGAATCTTCATAGCTTTCGCGTTCTTGCTCCGATTGACGCGATTCTTGTTGCGTCGGAAAGATCTTCTCAAGATCTATCATCACAAATACCTGCTCAGACAGAATAACACAAAACACATTCCCAAACTCCAGAACACACACCACAAATTCTTGCACACGTTCAAACCACACATGCAAGTTGAAAACATGGGATGGGAGGCAGACAGAATGTGATAGCATATGATGACATCACACAACACCTAGCACTACAAGAACGTCCGCAGACACGCCCCCGGCCCAAATGGTTCAAGGTTTAAAGACTTGTTGGGCGCTAGTGGGATGGGTTGGGAGTCACAAGAAAGTTGCTTGCGGCAAACGTCTGGCGATTTTATTTTGTTTTGCTTAGTCAGCGGCTCCCAGGGGTTGGGTTTGGATGCAAGACTGGTTTTTTCAATTTCCTCGAGCCCGACCTGCGCAAACCTCGCATGGAAGTTCTTGGCCAATCAGGTGGCGTTCGTGATTTGCGTAACACCAGGTTTCGTGACAAAAGCTCACATGGCAGCTTTCAAGTTCTTTAAGGCTTGAACCACGTGACTTGCAATTTGGGGCACGAGCTGTATCATGCCTCAAATTGGGATATACAATTCCTCAAATTTGATGAATTCATATTGCAATCATATTCCTCGGATTTCATAGGCACCTAATGCCTTTGAGGAGAGGAAGGAGAGGAGGAAAAGGAAGAGGGATGAATGACGAGATGAGGAAAGCCGTAACAGTCAACAATGAGAAGAATGAGTGGAGAGGAAGGTCACACAGATAGGCCTTACAGGCGGTTCAGCTTCACAAGATCGCCAATTTCAATGGGGATTGGGCCTCTGAGCTGATTCTCTTCAAGAGACCTGAACGAATCCAAAAAACAGAAACGAACAGTGGGTAGGAATACATGGATTACAGAAGAACGCTGTCTGAGGGCTGGACCTTGTCCCTCCCTAGAATGTGTGGAGAAAACAGCTGTCTGATGGACATCTACACACAGGATAGGTGAGAGAAATGAGGAGACAGGTGTGATCTATACACAGGATGGGTGGGGGAAGTGAGGAGAGAGGTGTCCTTTACACTTCGAATATGTGAGCAGGCATGGAGGAGTGCATGGAGAAGGGGAGGAAAGTGAACGGGATCAGGATAAAAAGGGAGTGGAATGGAAGGGTCGAGAAGAACCTGAGGGGAAAGAAGAATGCAAAGGAGAGGGCAAGTGGATTGGAGAAGAGAGAAATAAAGACCTCTTGATTGAGAGGTCAGCGGAGGCCAACAGCTAAATGAACCGGAAAGAGAACGGTTGGAGAGAAGAGGCATCCAATAAAGGGCAGAACAGAGCAAGGGACTTACAGAACTTGCAGGTTTTTAAGATTGCCAATTTCTGTGGGGATTGAGCCAGTGAGCATAGAGGTACTTATACTTCTGAGCGATGGGCACAAACCAGGCATGCCGTAGGTAAAGGCAGATAAGTTGAAGTTTATTGAAAACAAACTGAAGAAGAGGGAGTAACTACAAAAGCACGCAAAATATCCTACATGCACAAGAGAAGCAGGATGCAGCACAATCGCAGCGAGAGAAATGGGGTTTAGGAGAAGTGAGGAGAGAGGTGTTATTTCCACACAGAATAAGTGAGCAGGCAGGGCGGAGTGCATGGAGAAGGCAGGGCGGGGTGCATGGAGAAGGCGAGGAAAGTAACGGGTATAGGACAGCAAGCGAGAGGAAGGGAATGATTTAGAATGAAAAGCAGGAGGAAAATATTGCAAAACAGGGGGCGTTGGCAACTGGATTGGAGAAGAGAGAAAGAAAGACCTCTCAATGGAGAGGTCAGTAGAGGCCAATGGCAAAAGGATCCTGAAAGAGAACAGATGGAGAGGTGAGGCATCCAAGCACAAGAAAGCAGAGGACTTACAAAACTTGCAGGTTTTTTAAATTGCCAATCTCTTTAGGGATTGAGCCAGTGAGGTTTGAGGTACTTATACTTCTGAGCGACAGGCACGAATCAGGCATGCGATACATAATGGTAGAGAAATGATCTTAACATAGAGTCAAACAGAAGAAGGGGGTAACTGCATCCGTCTGCGATGATCCAACACGCGCAAGAGAAGCACGATCACAGGGGGGAAAATGGGGGAGAGCAGAATTGAGGAGAGAGGTGTCATCTATACACGGGATAGGATGATGGACGAGTGCATGGAGAAGGGGAGAAGAGAATGGGAGACAGAGTTGGAGGAAAGGGCGCAGAGGAAATGAAATGAGAGGCAGGGGAATGGAGAAGGTGCGTTGACAGTAAGTGGAGGAGGAAACAAGAGAAGAAAATCGCTAAGAAGGGACTGGCAAGGGGAGAACGTGGGAGTAAAGGAGCAAGAATTTGATATTAAGTTATGGAACGTGGGAGTAAAGGGGCAAGGAAGCATGCGGAAGAGGTTTAGTAATTGCATACACTTCCTCTACTGCTCTAAATGGGCGAGTTGTAGCAAGGCTGGATCTAGAAAGCCAATGTAACTCTCGACTAGCTGCTGTCACTTGAGGAAGCTGCCTTGCAGCTTTGGACTTTGTGATCTGCGCTGCGCTAACGACCTATTCAGCAATTCGCTCGCTTAGCTACTGGAAAAAGCAGTGGGTGATCAGAGCCTTGCAGCCACTAAAACAACGTCTGTAAACGTTCCAACTGGCCTCAAACCCCAAATCTGGCATATTTCCAGTCCGAGGTATCCTCAAATCCGAGAACAAACCTTCTTCCAATCTAAGGAATCTATGCTGCAAAGTTCCTAGTCCAATGCGCTTTGGAAGAGGAAGAGGAGAGGGGGGAGAGGAGGGGCCAGGAGAGAAGAATGAGAAGAATGAGTGGAGAGAAGGGGCAAAGATTGAAGAGCACAAGGAAGAAGATGTCTTACAGATTTCTCAAGTTTGCAAGATTGCTGATTGCAGCAGGGATGGAACCATTGAGCGACTGGGTTTGAAGAGAACTGTGTTGATCAACACGAAGTAGGCATGCAGAAGAAATGTAGTGAACAGCAGGAACTCCCACGGTAGGTATAATGCCTACATATGATACAGCCCAAGATGGCAGTGGGTTGCACATTGACAAGGTGTGGGGTTTTGACAGGGGCAGCCATCCCAACGTGCGGTCCTACGGTGCGGCTGCATGGGAGCACGTGGGAACGTCCCCCCTGCATGGGCTCCAGCAGACGTCATCATCCTCTGCACTGCAGCGCAGGCACTGCATCCTGCAATATACGCACATGGATACAATCATCCCGCTGCTGTCGCATTCAATGCCGAAAGCAGTGCCACAGTTGGGCTTGGAGCCATTCCACCCAGGCAAGGTCTGCTTCCAACCCCTCTGGCAGTCCTGCAGAAATCGCACTGCGGGTGGGGTGGGTTGGTGGATGGGGGGTAGGGGGAAATGGAAGCAGGTGTTAGCAGAGGCACCGCATTCGCCTGGCTGCAGATTGCGTTAGTCGCGTGCACAAGTGCAAGAGCCAATTGCAAAAAATCCATTCAGCATAGCGAATCCAACGCGTGCTCAAGCGAGGGCCCGCAAAGCATCTGTGCGCAAAGCACCTGCGCAAAGCACCCCCAAAGCAACCGCACGAAGTGCACCCCAAAGAGTCCGCGCCGTGCGCAGAGCACCTGCGCACAAGCACCCTCTTGCAAAAGGCCCGTGCGCAAAGTACCCACGCGCAGAGAACCGACGCGCAGAGCACCCACGCGCAGAGCACCCACGCGCAGAGCACCTGTGGCCATAGCACCCACATGCAAAGCACCCGCGCGCAAAGCACTCGCGAGAAAAGGACCCACGAGAACCCTGTTTGCGAAGCGCCCCAAGCGTGAAGCTCCCCCCCGCAAACCACTAAGGTGCAAAGCACCAGCACGCAAAGCCCCCAGGCGCAAAGCATCCGGCGCGTGCAAGCACAGCAAGCACCCTCGTCACAAAAATGTGGATCTCACCTATATTGTAGGTATAGTTGTTCGTATAGCAAGGCTACTCCGTAGCAGACGTACCTATGCCGTACCTAGTGTATAGCTACTACGTATTTCTGGTCCTGGTATTTTGAGACGCTGACCTAAAAGCTCCCACGCGCAGAGCACCCCGCGTGCAGAGCACCCGCGCGCGAAGCACCAGCCCGAGCACCATCGTGCAAAGAATCCGCGGCACACACAGGCGCCGTGCGCAATGCACTTGAAGCACCCGCAAAGCTCCCACGCTCTGCGCGCGCGCGCACGGGCAGGTTGATCTGCACAGGACTTGGGCCACCCCTCTCACCTTGCGATGCCTTGAGCAGCTGGGCGTTGACCATGGCGACGGGCGTGACGGCGAAGACGGCGAGGAGGCATGCGAGAGCCAACGCGCAGCGCCGCACCCGTGCCAGGCTAAGCGGCGCCACCGTCGCAGCCCAGGTGAGGCTGGAGCGGCGCATCATGCTGCTGCCAGCGAGTGCGCTGGCAGAGCCTGGCACGACGAAACCGCTACTAGCCGCTGGCGGTTGTAACTCGGCGCTACTGACGGCTACTCTGACGGCTCGTCGGAGGATGAATTCGGGCGGGGTTTTGGGTGGTCGCGCACGCGGGCAATGTAAAATTACAGCCTCAACATGAAGTTGTTAGTAGCATCCGCTGCTTTCTCTGCAGAGTCCCGCGTCCGCTGCGACCTCTGGATTTAATGACTACGACTCTAGGGAAGCGATTGCACTCGATATGTCTGGAGCGCAACCACGGCTGAAATGCGAGCGGGCTGGGTGAGCGAGCCAGGGTGAGGAAGGTGGACAAAAGGGGTACAGAGGAACAGTCCAAACTCCAAACCTACCTACCAGGTTCTCAGCATGACCCGCGTTGACACTGAACCTGATTGGCTGCAGTCTGAACGTTGGCGAATGGTCAAATCGAATTTCGACAATGGCGAGTTTCAGAGCAGGGAGGTCGCGCGGGCAAACTCTCTATTGCATGAACGAGAATATGTAACAAGTGACATTGCTCTGGGTTTTCCCTTTCAATGTCCCATTTGCCCGGGTTTGACCCTTTTCTGTTTACAGGCCCAGGCCGCGAGAAACAAAACAAATATTAAATATGATAAATTGTGTAGTTGGGCAGAGGAACTTCGCAGCTACAGTATTCGTGTAAGGCGAATTTCTGACAGCGAATAACTCCGAAAATTTCGCACGGTAAAAAAGTGCCGAGAATCTCTCCTAGTGTCGTCGCGGTTCAGGATTGCACATACGTCTCACACAAATTCAGGAAGTCATCAAGCTACTGTAGGCGTTATCGGCCACGAGGCTCTCTGGCTAGCACGATTATCGAGAAAAAACACTGTAGCCGGGGGTCACCGAACAAGAGCTCGAGTCACAGAAACATTCGTTAATCGAAGTGAGGGCCCATTCCGAACTCGTGTCAACCTTTCGGATCAGGTCATCCCAGACCAATTTCGGGTCTTCCAAACCTAACTTCGGGCCGACGAACTTGAAAGTGATACAGTGCTCAGCGAATTGCATATCACCAACGTAATGTCCGCCAGAATGTGCACTCAGGTCGCATTTCCTGATTGGTCTTTCGCAAAACAAATGTCGTCTATTTCGTTTCTGATTTTCTTTTCGTGCGCCGTCTGAATTTTGTGGTCCCGAAGCCTCGGGTCTTCCACCATCGTGTTTTCCACGTCTGACCCGAAGTTTGATTAACATCCCGGAAACGCCCTGAGGAGGATCACGCTGACGAGATTTTCTTGCTACCACCTGCGAGAACTCCGCAGGGACGATACCTGGTCAGGGCTTTCACCAGGCTCAGGTGGTATCAGCGCTTCGCTTTGACTTTTGTAACACCTTAGGTAGAAAAACAGGACATTGTACTAGGGTTGCACTCTAAATCTAAATGAGACCTTTAGTTTTTTCAAGTCCCCAGGTTCAACTTTCTTCTAACGATATTTCTCTTACATGATCAGCTAAGTGAAGCGCACATTGTTATGATAAGGATGAAATACTTTGTCAGGTGTTGCAGGAGACTAAGTATAGAATCTGCTAACACGAGTACTTAACCAAGGATCTTTCTTTGCTGGAATGGTAGACTATTAAGATAGCGGAAGTCTTATAGGAGTGAACCTGAGCACATGAACTTGTGGGTAGTCGAATGTTGAATAACCTGAGCACATAATTCTGTGTAAAGTCAATGTTAATAATAGAAAGGCATTACAAGGATTTATAGCTCTAGGGAAAGTACCAATTCGCTAATGTACATGTTCATCACTATCGCGCTATGCGACCTATTCGTCATTCTATAGGGTCGCGACTGTTCGCGTGACTGAAACAACTTGTTACGCCTAATTGCCAGGCCTCTGGATAGGATTAGAAATACTCTTTCTTGTAAGGGTACTCGCTTGCTGCCACTTTTTCTGTAAGGGTATGTTTTTAAGCTACTTTGTAATATAAGGGTCCTAAACATTTGTACTTTTTCACATAAGGGTATAACTCCAGCGCAGCCTTACAATTTACTGTAGTTACAGGATCTCGCGTGATCAGACCACTGACGTGTTGCAAATATGTGACGACGTGCCTGTTAGAATACGTGAATGATAACAATAAGGAGAAAAATGGAACATATATCTGTTGGGTTGTACTCACTAGAAGCACACACCTAGTCTAGCCTATAACTTCTACATAGAACATATGTATAAGTTGACACACCCCATAGGCTAGATAAAGGGTGGTGCTAAGCAAGAAGCACACAGCTCAGTGTGACACTACTAGTCCAACCACTGAGGCAGGGGTCCGGAGATCAGTCAGCAAGAGTACAAACAAGACTAAAGCAAGCCAGGGCGGCACTACTAGTCCAGCCACTAGAGGTAAGGCCACAAGGCCAGTCAAACAGGTATATATAGTAGAGAGTACACAATCATGGCCCTAGCAAATGAGAAGCTACAGGAACAAGACCAAGCTGGACACAGTGCCGCTGATGATCTTTAGGCGCAAGCGCCTTAGTAAAGATATCAGCTGTGTTGGCACCGGAGGCCAAGGGAACTACACGGGCCTGGCGACGCTGCTGTAACTCGCGCAGGAGGAAGTACCGCAGCTGGATATGCTTCGCTCTGCCCTCAAGCCGAGGCTCCTGATACAGGAGTATCATGGCCCTGTTGTCAGCGTACAGGACCGGGGCAGAGCTAGGCCGCTCACCTAAGTCAGTGAGCAAGAAGGTCAGCCAGCGGAGCTCCTGTACCGCCATGGCACCAGCGTAGATCTCAGCCTCACAGCTGGACTGAGCAACAGACGACGAGCGAGTGGATCTCCAAGAGATAGTACCCGAACCAAGGCTAAAACAGTAGCCCTGAGACGACCTGAGAGTCTCAGAGTCGTCTGCCCAAGAAGCGTCTGTGTGCCCAGTGAGAACCACCGGCCTGCGTCCTCCTAGCACTAACCCCATGCCTGATGTACTTGCTAGATATCGCAAAACCCTCTTAGCGGGCGACCAGTGCTGTGGCCGGTGTCTGCCAGTGGCCACAAAGCGAGCCAGGATGCTGAGAGGGTATGCAAGATCTGGGCGAGTGCAAGTCATCAGGTACATGAGGCAACCCACAAGCTCTGCGTAGGGTCCACTGGGCTCTACTGGCTCTGCAAGAACTGGAGCAGAGAGCCCATGGTCTACAGGTAGAGGTGTGGGCTGTGCGGAGGAGAACTGAAGACCGAACCTCTGAAGGACCTGACGCACCAAGTGTGACTGTGTCAGAGTGATGGTGCGTGCTGCTCTGTCCCTTGAGATCTGCAGGCCAAGATAACGACGCAGCTCTCCAAGGTCAGTGCAGGTGTGTCTCTTCAGCAGCTCAGCCTTCCCAAAGGCCAGTGCGTCCCTGTCAGCAGTAGCAAAGACCAGGTCGTCTACGTAGACAAGGATGTAGAATGGAGTCTGGCCGGAACGCACAAACAGCGAGGGGTTAGCAGAGGATGGAAAGAACTGCAGGTCTGCTAACGTGGCACGCTACGTGTCGTGCCACTTGCGAGGAGCCTGACGCAGGCCGTAGACCGGGCGCCTGAGAAGCCACTGGGTCCCAGGGGGGAAGGTACCACTGAAGCCCTGAGGTCGATGCAGGTAGACCTGCTCGTGTAGGCTGCCCTGAAGAAAGGCAGTAGAGAAGTCGAGGGAGTGAAGCTCGTAGTCGCGCTGTGCTGCTACGTATAGCAGCGCCCGAAGAGTGGTCATCTTTGGGGTCGGGGCGAAGGTCTGGAAGAAGTCAACCCCCTCGCGCTGGCTGAAGCCTCTGGCCACGTAGCGTGCCTTGAAGACAGGCGGCTCTCTAGGGGGGCGCTTCATTTTGAAGATCCACTGACCATCGACTACGTTCACCCCAGGCGGGGGAACTGCGTCGACGTAAGTGCCGGTGGATCTCCAAGATGCCATCTCCTGCTCCATGGCAGCTATCCACTGAGAGGCCCAGGGTCGCGAGGTGGCCTCAGCGTAGGTGCGAGGGGTCGGGATGTCGAAGGCGTTTGGGTCACCTTCTGGGACTAGGAGCATGGAGCAGAGATGGGGAGCGGCCTCGGAAAGGAAAGCAAGCTCGTACTGCCTGTCCTCTAGTACGTCACTGCCAAGGACAGGAGCACCCCCGACGGACGCAGGACGGGCAGTGTCAGAGACCTGAGCGGTAGCGTACTCAAGGCGGCGGGTAGAGGCGAAGTCAGCGACAGCAGCAATAAGCGCGTCAAGGCAAGAGACAGGAAAAGACGGATCTGTAACAATAGAGGCAAGGACCCGAGGGACAAGGGGACTAGCGGCACGGAGGTAGTCAGACAGCGGGGGAGGTGCAACAACGAGCGATTAGGGAGGAGGCGAGGGGAGGAGGGGAGGACGAGACGAGTGAGAACGGAGTAACATAGGATGGGAGCGCGGGACAGGGGAGACGGGACGAGCACGGGAGGGACGGTGAGACCAAACGTGGGACGGAGGTGTAGGGTCAGGAGACAGCGGAGGTGAGACAAGGGGGGAACGAAGAGGAAGACGCGCCGGAGAAGAGTCTGGGGGTGGGAACACAGGGCCGTAGACAGGAAAGTGAGGAGGAGGTGGGGGAGACACCGGCAAGCGGTCAGGGGAGGGAAGGCCGAGCAGGTGAGGAGCGGAGACCGGCGGCGACGACTGCGGCGGCTGCTGCGGCGGCTGGTGCTCGACCCTCGAACCCGCAGGGGCACGACGACCTCCGGGAGAACACTCAACAGCAGCACCCGCAGAACCAACACCCCCAGAGCGAGAACCCTCTCCAGCCCCGGCGGCACCCCCACGCCCGCCGGGACAGACCACACCAGGAGCCGCAGGACGAACACACTCCTCAGCGCCAGCACCCCCAGAGGCCAAGAGCAGCAGCGGCGGCAGCGGCGGCAGCGGCGGCGGCGACGGCGGCTGCGACGGCGGCGACGACGGCGGCTGCGACGGCGGCGACGACGGCGGCTGCGACGGCGGCGACGACAGCGACGACTGCGACAGCGGGGGCGGAGACACCAGGGAAGGGGGACGCGGCAAAGGCGGGGCGGGGGGAACACCAGAGTCAGCAGACTCCTCAACAGGGACAACTGACGGGAGGGGAGTGACATGGGAGACACCAGACGGGGCAGGACGCGGCGGGAGGGGAGGAGGTGCTACCGGGGGAGAGGGGGCAAGGAACAGGGGGGGGGGAAACCGGGAGACCTCGGTGAGGGAAGTGACGGTAGAAGGAGACAGACTCGTCAAAGGTGACGTCACGA